TTCTATATATGAATAAGAACTGTGCAAGAGTATAATGCAAATACATATCAATGGAATTTATTCGATAAAAGCATTCCCTGGAAGAAAAACAAAAAGGACCCATTTCTAGGAGCATCTCACCTCATCTGTTAAAATGCAATATTCAGTTTTAAACACACTCATTGCCTACAAATGCTAATTGTTTTCTCAAGGGCTGACCTTGCCCTTCAGCAGATGATATGACCCACTTCTCATGCCACCACAGTGGCTAAAAGACAGATGAAAGCAGAAACTGGTACCTGAACAGCAAGAGTTTTCAAAGCTGTGATGCCGGCTGCAGGATGAGAGCAACATTTGGATTCTGCTTCAGGCAGCAAAGTATTTTTGGAACTGTATATTGCCTTAATGCAGAGGAGGGAACAGAAAGTGACAGATTCTCCTTAGATGCCATCCCATTCTGGCATCTGCCAGATTGTTGCAAAGGTGCAAATAGAATCAGAACCAGACATTGGTCTGGGCCGCCATCCAGAAAGGCCTCCACGAGACTCTTGGGCTGCTGGGCTACTTGCCATTCAGGCATGCCATTGTAAAGAAAAGAATTTCTTGAAATACCAGGTCTAGGAAGCTAAACCAATCAGATCTCCTTTCCACTGGCACAGCCAATGGGAAGAATGATAGGCCTGTCCCTTGTCACAGCACGGCAGAAAGACCCCCAAAGAGAGCACTGACACGGAGCACTTCTGCAGTGTCTACTGGCTGGCCAGCAGAGCTGTTTAAATGCATCCTGTTGAGATGGCTCAAAGAGAGAATTGGAGCAAAAAGCACTTTCAGCAGTAAAAAGCAGGTGGGAGTTGACAGCAAAGGAGTAACAAGGGGAAAAGAGACTTCCCAAAAGATCTGGCCCAGGGACCCCTCAGACCTCTTAACACCTGTATACAGAGGTGACCTAAAAGCCAGCGGTTTTTGCTTTCCTCTAGGGAAATAGTTTTGAGTGGGTCAGTTACTTTCATAACTTTTTTTCTGAACTTTCTGCTTAAAGGAAAATTCCATTCTAGGAAAGTAATCCATCTTCATCAGAAATCTGATTCATTCGTTCTTAACTGCTAATCTCTGTCAATTCTTTAAGATGACTAACACTAACCTACATGAGCATTTGCTAAATGGGGCTGGGGGGAGAAACCCAGATGTCAAATAGTTTTACCTCTACCGATTTCATCATCCTGGCAATTCCTTCAACCTTAATTTCAAAATTTTGTTTTAAAGCATTAGGGTGCAATACTATCTCCCAGGGGCCACGGTATACATTGGACTCTCCCCACTGAGGTCGAAAGAACTTCCACTTGGATTCCATGCCCCATCCCTGAGATTGATATTGACAGCAGAAGAACCTAGGCTCTCTCCCACCCCAATTCATCACTTCTCCAAAAATGTAGATCACACTGCAATTAGTACGATGGAAATACTTATTTTTACAAACAAAGAAACAAATCCAAGACACAAGTGTTAGTAGGCCAATTGGCTATGCCAATTATTTGAATTAACATTAGCATTTCTCTGCCCAAAAACGCTTGGAGCTGGATAAGAACATACTGACTACATTCACCTACCCAACTAAGAAGTAAATTTGGCTTAACAAAACAATAGTTTTTTTTCCTTCCTAGTATTTTTCCCACAGGTGCAGGATCTGCTTTTTTTCTTTTTTTAAGAATGTTGATCCATTGGTTGCGACAGGACAATTGACTGACCAACTTTTCACCTGAGCTTGACATCGTGGGCTGAGAGAGAGTAACTGGCCCAAAGTCACCCAGCCAGCTTTCATGCCTAAGGCAGAACTAGAATTCAGTTTCCTGGTTTCTAGCCTGGAGCCTTAACTGCTAGACCAAACTGGCTCTAACTTAACAAAACAATACTGTGTTCACAAAAAATTTTATGTCAAATAAATCATATGATGGCTTAATGTGATAATCTGGTTCACACAACATCCTAAGGCAATGCCTGGTTTCTCTCAACATACTAAATGCAAACTACCTAACCCTATTTTATCTAGGCTAGCAAGGTGAATATCCCAACCACTGAGAATGGAAAAGCAAGAGGGTTTAGGGTGGTGGGTTTTTTTATTATTATTAAAGGGACAGAGTTAATTCATTTAAGTGTTAAAGCACAAACATTTTAATGTTTTAAAGCTAGACTGACAGACAGACAAGCTCTAAAGTTTCCCATACATACTGGGTACTATATATGATGTGTACAGCAGGAACATCTTAGCCAAATACATAGAAAAGAATAAAGAACTGCTGTTCTGCAAACCATGTTTAGCTTTGGTCCATCATACATTCTTTAAGAAAAGCCTTCATCAGTTGGGATCTGTCCAGGATGCGTGCCACTTCAGTAACGACCCAATGCTGGCTGTGAATGTGATTCTATTACATTTTAATCTATCCTAGAACAAAAATTCTTTGGGCAGATTATAAAGTCATATGGGTATCCATTGCAGGAGATAATATAGGAGAGAAAACCACAGTGTTAATTTCTGGCCACTTTAACCCATACATTTACATGTCCATCCAGAATCCAAAGTGGACAAGGCACATCGGATGGGTTAAAACCATTTTGGTTTGAAAATACCCGTATCTAAATACAGCATACAATACCAAAAATACAGTGTCTAAATAGGAAGTCTGAATATGACCATAACGATAGCAAAAGAAACCAAGATCAATTTAAAGATTTTAAAAATTGTGTTAGATTAAAAAATGAATAGGAAGCTGTTCTACTAGAAAGCAAAAGACCAGTCCCACCTCTGTTTACAAGAATGCCTCTTTGCCTCAACAGGCATTCTCAGAAAAGAAGACAATAAGTGGTAGCAATCCCTGAAAAATGTTGGAGAACTTTTATAAAATGTTTTCCCACCTCAGGTCTGTTTTTAAAACTAAGTTTTATGATACCCAGAATATCTACCTCACAGGGTGGTTGTTGTGGGGAAAAATAGATGGAAGGAATGTCATGTACACCACCTTGAGCTCCTGAATGAAAGGTGGGATATAGTTCTATTATAATAAATAAATAAATCTATGTCTGTGTGTAGACAGATATATGTGCATGTGACTATACATCTGGGGATTATATCCATGTGTTCCTCCTAGATAGTGTTGTCCACAAGAATATTCTGCTGAAGGCAATAGTAACATCTGGAGGGTATCAAACAGCAGAGAACAAAGAACGATCATGTTGATGGGAAGTATGCATTCCTTCAGGGACATGGGTCCTAACATCGGAATAAAACAATTTGTGTGTTCTAATCAATCTTCACCAGCATCGATTCCATTTGCTTCTGAATGATCATGTGAGGCTAATATGAACATAAGACATGCTACTGGATGCAAACTCCATATAACTTTCCCATTTTCAAACCATATTTGAATACTTTCAATTCAACCCTTTATCAGAGGGTAAACTAAGTTTGGAAAAATGATTATGATGATGATGTGTGAATTTGCAAAGAATCATGGAATTTGAAAGAATATTAGAGGTCTAGTCCAGCCCCCTGCTCAGTGCAGGAGTCACCAGAGCACCTCGTACACAGGAACATCCAGACTCTGCAGATCTTCAAGGATCTTCAGTAGCAGCCTACTGGCTCACAGCTCATACACACAGGAAGTTCCTCCTGCCCTCTAGCCCAAATCTACTTCCTTGTAGTTGTAATCCATTGCTTCTTGTCCTGCCCTCTGGGGCAATAGAGAATAAGTTCACCCCTTCTTTTGTGTGACAGCCCTTCAGATATTTGAAAACTGCTATCATATTCCCCACAGTCACCTCTTCCGCGGGTGAAGCATACCCAGATCCTTTAACCATTCCTGATGGGATTTAGACCCCAGACCCCTCACCATCTTGATAGCCATCCTTTGAACTGGCTGAATTTGTCCCTGCCCATTTTTAAAACTGTGATGCCCAGAACAGAACACAGTATTCCAAGTGAAGTCTGAATAGGGCACAGCAAACAATTATTTCCCACGATATGGACTCTATGCTCCTGTTCATGCATCCCAAGACAGCATTTGCCTTTTTAGGCAGCTGCATCACATTGGGAGCTCTTGTTGGACTTGGGGTTGACAAGACACCCAGGTCTTTTTCACATGTGCTACTGCCAAGTCTGCTCCCCCCCCCCATCCTACTCATGCCTTTTATTTTTTTTCTAGGCAGCTACAGAACCTCATTTCTCCCTGTTAAATACCATCCTTTTCATTTCAGCCCACTGCTCAAGTCTGACTGGATCTATATTTTGCCATACATTGGGTAGGGCTATTAAAATTAATTAGTTTTTTGTTTGTTAAACCCTATTCCAGTAAGACTGTTGTAACTCTGGAACCAATCTAGAATAAATAAATAATGGGAGGAGTAAAAGAATATATGAGGAAAGATAGGCCCAAGATGTGAGAAATAAAAAGCCTCTAGAAGGTTGGGAAAACATATGATCTCTTAGTTATAATCTCTTTTTAAATTAAATCATGAGAGAGAATTTAAAAAAAAATTAGAATAGCCTTTTATTACTGCCTTCCTGTTCCATCAAATAATAATTTATTTTCAGATTTGAAGCTTAGACTTATGACTGGGCTTTTAAAAAAAGCCTGTAGTAACTCTAATAAAGTTTTAAAAGAAGATCACAGAAGATTGTATCAAAACTGGAACCAGCTGCATATTCTCTAAGGCTTCAATTAAATAGCCCCAGAATTACCTGTGAAAACATTTCACACGTGGGAAAATGGAAAAAGGCTCCTGTCTCATCTCCCCATCACCCTGACCCCTTTGACCTGATCAAGGATGTTAAATGGATTTTGACCTTACCGTAATTAGTGCATAAACGAAAAAATGTGAGAGTCATAGCCTAACACCAACCCCCTCAATTAGCCTCCACTGCCCCTCCTTTCACCGTCCGGAGGAAGTTCCCGAATCGTCCTCCCTATAAATACCCCCCATGGGTAACAGATTCATTCACAGCAACCCAGGCACCCGCTCGCCACAGGTCTCCCGCACAGCAAGGGCGTCGTTTTCGAGGAAGAGGGCGGGACCAAAGATTTTCCCGCAGGAGGATGAGTTCAACACGGAGTAAGTAGCGCTCGGGGCAGGTCTTTCGTCGTCGCCGCGGCCGGGCGAGGCCCGAGACGAGCGGGTGAGCTTCCGCGTGGTGGCGCCCGGCTCGGGAAGGGCGCCTTTTCGGCGTCCTCCAGGGCGAGGGCTGCCCTGGAGGACTTGCCCGCCGCCCTTCGGGAGTCTCGACTACCTTTGCGGTGGGGGAGAAAAGGAGGGTGAGTCTCAGCTTAGCTTCCCGGCCGCTCGCCCTTGGCGCTGACTGCGGGAATGTTTAACAGGCTTTGGGGTGGCCCAGATCGGCGAGCCGCTTTTTCCGGACTGGGTTGTGGGCTAATAGAACTGGAGCCGGTTAATGCCGGCCCTTGTCCGCTTAAGCGGGAAGGAAAGGAAACGCTGGTCTTTGCTTCGAAGTTCTCCCAAGAGTTCAGAGAAAGAGACGCTTCCCCGTGTTTCCTCCGAACGAACTGGGCGACTGAGTTTCAAAAAGCCCGCCGTCGCTCTTGCGGGGACTCGCGCTGGGCGAAGCCAAAGGGGGGGAATCAATAGCACTGCTCCGTGATGGAGAGACGCCCCTGACTTCGAAGGGTTGGGTAACGAAAGCGCGGAGTTGGACTCCGAACTGAGTCTCCCCGAGCTTGTCGCACGGGTTAGGGTAGTCTAATTCCGACGGACTCGGTTTTCTACCCACTCGCGTTCAGCTACTTCATAATTTATTCCTGGCTCGAGCTATGAGGAGTTGAGCGACATCCTTTCAGGTTGAAGCCATGCAGCTCCAGCTAGTTATTTCAGTGGTACTCAGGCGGTTCATAGGTGGTCTGTTTTATTTTTTTAACGATCACTCTGTCCTTACCTCTGTATCTTTTTTATCTTCCCAGGTGTTCTTCTTCTTGTCAGTATTGCACTGTGTTGGTTAACGTGCCTAGCTGCACCCCAGGCAGAATTTTCTGGAGACCCTGGTTTGCAACAGTTTGTTCGGAAAAATAAGCAATTTATCACCGGGATAAAGGCTGATATTGTTGCACTGAATGGGCTTGTGGTGAGTATATTTGTCAACCTCGTTTCTCAGGTTGTTTGAAAGGATTCTTGGATAAGTTGTGCACATTTAAGAATTTGCTTTCGAGTCAATCATGCGCTGGATTGCTGTGT